AGCTCAAAGTAGAGCTGCGATTAGCTCAAAGTAGAGCTGCTGTTAGCTCAAAGTAGAGCTGCTGTTAGCTCAAGGTAGAGCTGCTGTTAGCTCAAAGTAGAGCTGCTGTTAGCTCAAAGTAGAGCTGCGGTTAGCTCAAAGTAGAGCTGCTGTTAGCTCAAAGTAGAGCTGCTGTAAGCTCAAAGTAGAGCTGCGGTTAGCTCAAAGTAGAGCTGCGGTTAGCTCAAAGTAGAGCTGCTGTTAGCTCAAAGTAGAGCTGCTGTTAGCTCAACGTAGAGCTGCAATGCTAAATGGATGTAATATAGCGCAAGGCAGAGCCGCAGCAAATAGCTAGATAACACCAGTTGTGAGAGTGGACCCATGAAACCAGCACTCCGTTAGCTAAGCACTATTGACGCACAGCAAGGGTCAATTGTTGTCAGCACAGGCAAGCATTGTGCAGCTAGAGTTCAGTAGCTCATTACTCACCCAAGTTGGGGATCATGGCATCCATGACACGGCAGCAAGCCGGAACGATAGCTGGCGCTTAGCGCTTGTTGTAGTCCGGATGTAGCATAGACACGCATCGCTCTTTCCACTGACCTGCCACTCGGAAGAAGGAGTCGGGGGCACTAGCCATAGCAGCGGTGGTGGCTGTACCAATGTGGACCGAATGCCCGGAGTAGTTCGACTGGGATGGTACACCGGCCGCAGCGACAAGAGACCATACTGTTACTGTGAATGACTGCCTGGTCAGCTGCTGTCTGTTCGAGAGTACGAACAAGAGTTGCTCCGGTCCCTCGCGACGAGTGACAAATGGGTAGCTAATAATGGCACGGACCGGGCAGTACGGCGGTACAGACGGGCCAATGTCACTAGCAACGCCTTTACCGAATGGGTCTGTCTTGGATGAAAGCAGGAAGAGTTGCAGGCGTCCGTCACCAGGGGAGCTAGTACAGCCCCGTGTGATGCCATTAGTGAATTCAGCACACCAAAGAAATCCAAAGAAGCAGCATGGCGGCCTGGTAGAGCAGCTTGTCATGGCCATTCAGGATACTACTTTTCCGGCGTGCATCCGTCAGGTGTCGTAGGATTGGCATAGTTATAGGAAGGCGAGGGGTGAGTACAGCCGTACCATGGCATCGCTGCATGCCCTTCAACACCCTCTTCAGAAGCCACGCATCTACTAAGGGGCCGGCAAACCCATTCTCAAGGTGGGCTTTATGCACCGCACTCGCATACACAGATACAGTTCAGGGCACGCTGATCATAGTTCACGCATGAATGTGTGTCCAGGAACGATGACTCGGGCAGCAAAAGTGAGCTTCCCCAGGAGGGACTTGAGTTGACGCTGGCCGATGCTGCACTCGCTGATAGTAGCCATGAGTGGCGCATGGATCTCGGACAGCTTGTCCTCTGGTAGCCAAGCTTCGTGGCGCTCGCAGTCTAGGACAATACCAAGGAAGGTCAATGATGGTGATGGCCCTCAGTTTGAGCTGGGATGGAGCAAAGAGTGCCGAGATACGTGAATGCCCGGAGGGGGATGGTGAGTTGCTGGTTGGCTGCAGCCAAGCCAGTGGAGATATCGAGAAAGTCATCGAGGTAATGAAGTCGGTGATCTATAGCAAACTCGTGCTGCATGATCCCGTTGACTGCTGTGGCTACTGAGTCAAAGACGGCTGGGCTGGAGCGGAGGCCGAAAGGCAGAAAGCGCTCGTAGTAGTAGGAGCCTTCCCAGCGAAGTCCTGACGGCGGACTGGGATCTGCCGAAATGCACTGCGTACATCGAGCTTGGACAAATACACAGGCTGTGGGCATGACATGAATATGTTGATCGCGTTGTCAATGCTTGCGTAGTGCAGAGAGAGCGGCTCGGCAGGAATGCTGTCGTTCGCGCCGGTGCCTTCCGGACTAGACAGATGGTGGATCATTCGCAGCTTGCCGTTCTTTTTGGGGATGGCACCAATACCAGTGCGGCGCATGAACTGAAATGGAGGTGACGGAAATGGGCCTGTGGTCTCGCTGCGGGCGCAGGAAGCAGCTAATTGCTCGGATATAAATGCCGCGTGAGTGAAAGCCAAGGGTAGATTATTAGAGAAAACCGAAATGTCGTGTTGGCCGGCAGATCCAAGAGTAAAGCCACGGCGCAGGCCATGGAGAACATACGCAACACATGATTGATCTGAGTGGTTACGTAACAGGCGGGCAGAGTGGTCAGCTAGCAGTGTGGTGTCTGCAGAGTGTATAGGAAAGAAGCTACGTACCGAGTCAAGCGATTCAGTAGCCATTCTGCTAGGGGCGGCGGGGTGGCCGATTGGCTCCGCGCTGCCGCTGGTTGCACATGATGCATGGGTGGTCCTTGCCACACTGGCTGCAGGTGTGGGAGAAGCGGCACGACGACGAAGAACAGCGACCTCCATTGAAGTTGCGGCAGATTTCTTGGCCGTCTCTGGTCTGGTTGCGACCACTGGAGGTAAATGCCGCTGGCTTGGGGACGAAAAGGACACAAACCGCCCCTGGA